TCTTTCGCTAAAAATAGCTCAGCACAAATTTTTTGGTGATAAATAGTGAAAATGGAAGTATGTGATAGTAAAAAAATAGCAGCCTCAATTTGGATTACATTTAATCTCCTGTAGCGTAGCCATGGCTATGTTACAAAGGCACTTGCGCCGATTCGCAAAGACCATTGATGAGCAGCCTTCGCAAAAAGGCAAATCCTTGAGAGAATTTACGGATTGAAATTTCGAAATTTTTTACTCAAAGTGAATAGAGCATTCAAAAACATTCGTATTCTTTTCAGGAAGTTACCAGCGATTTTTGGTAAATGTGTCACAAAGCAGCAATTACCTTCTAAATATAAATAATATCGGTGGAGAATTTCGGAATACTGAAACCTCGAGTGAAAATAAAGTGTTTTATGACGACTGACTGGTTTAGAAATCTCTCCTCAAGGCATATCTGCAAGAAATGTAGTAAATATTTTTCTTTTTTAATTAAGGAATTTCCAGAAAAAACCATTTATGTATATACATGTGACCATACTTATTTTAGTCTGTAGCTCATTTTAAGTGGGAGGGGGTTGAGTATGTAAAGAAAATAACTTGTGTCAAAACCAAGCTAATTGGACAATGTTTTTGAGTACTACTTAAACACATATACTCATCATTTGAACATACAAAAATGCAGAAGAGTCTGTTTTACGAAAGCCAAGTAATGTTTTCACATTTTATGTACTGCCTTTACACTATTTTTAACGTTTGCCATCTTTTTACATTAAAATAATGCAAATATTGCTGCTATTAATTTCGCACGGAAAAGTTATAATTTGACCTAATGTGCTTTGGAAGAAAATACGTGAACAAAAAAATCAACGGCATGCCATAAATACTTCAGTCTTGCTCTTTATTGTACTAAAATTTAAAAAACTGTGTACTCAAAAAAAAAAAAAACTAGAAAGTCTGATAAACAGTTTCAAATTTCGATGAACATTTGTTAAAATTCGTCGTTCGAAAACACAAATAAACAAAGGAAAATAGCCAAACTTGCTAAAATGTGTCTTCCCTACTTACATTCTCGCCACCGTACATCATAGCAACGACACTCAGATGCATTAATATTTTATACTTTAAAGAAATTAAAAAAGTAAATAACATAGAATGAAGTGCGGAGAAAGTAAAAAGAATCGGCTAAGAATCGGCCAAAAACGGCCGATGCCCATGCCGATGCCGATTCTTTTGGTCGATACTAGCCGATGCCGATTAATCGGTCGGACTCAATTTTCGAGCTTATTTCTAATCTATTCTGATAAGGAAAGATCTATCTAATCTAAATATAAGCTCAAGATCAAATTTATTCATCTTCTTTTTATAG